ACCTTGGACATCTTACGAGACAACAAGCTATACGTGAAGCTATCCAAGTGCGTCTTCTGCGCTGACGAGATTCCATGTCTTGGAGATTTTGTTGGAAGAGGCGGCGTACGGATGGATCCAGACAAGGTGCAGACTATCAAGGACTGGCCGATACCAAGAACACAAGAGGAGCTTCACAGATTCCTCGGTTTGACCGGATACGTTCAACGGTTCTGCCCAGACTACGCGAAGCTGACAGCCAGTATGTTTACGCTGCTCAAGAAGAAGTCCAAGCGCAAGGCGAAGATTCAGTTCGACGAAGAGCAGTCTAAGAACTTCAAGGAACTGAAACGACAGCTGTGCAATCCACCAGTGCTGCACTTGCCCGACTTCAATCAACCTATGCATTTGAGCACGGATGCAAGCGAGTTTGCCGTCGGAGGAGTCCTGTTCCAAGTTGTCGACGGTGTTGAGCTACCCATAGCTTACACCAGTAGGAAGATGAAGTCCGCGGAACTTAACTATCCGACGCAGCAGCAAGAGCTTCTAGCTATCGTCCACGCTCTAGCAGCTTTTCGAATTTACTGCTTGGACATACCACCAATCGTGGAGACAGATCACAAGAGTCTTGAAGGTCTTTTTACTCAGAAGATGGCGAATCGTCGTCTTGCGCCCTGGTACGATATCCTCGCGGAGTACCAGCCAACGTTTTCATACCTCCCAAATGCGAAAAACGGAATCGCAGACGCGCTTAGCCAAAGACCAGACTTGCAACCGGAAACGAAGTACTTCCATGACTTGAGTGTGACCAGCTTCGACGATACATATTTCAGTTTGGCGATCAGCGAGGTGACGACGGACAGTTTATTGGTCACCAAGATTAAACGAGCCTACATGAAGGATCGAGAAGCTCAAACAATCTTCACAGCTATCAAGCGGCGTACAGACAACTCGCAGCCGAAAGCGAAGCAGCACCAGCATAGAAAGTATCGCTGCTATACCGAAGGCGATGGTTTGCTGTGGTACCAGACTCCATCCGATGATGTCCCACGTATCGTGGTGCCCAACGAC